ATATATTTAAACTTCAAAAATCAGATAGGAGCTCCATCTTCCTAAAACCCCCCAGCCCCATCTTCTTTAACTAGCAGCTAATATTATTTTCTACCAAAAAAATCAGTCAGTAGCTCCATCTTCCTAAAACTCGCCAGCCCTATCTTCTTTAACTGCAGCTAAAACCTTGCAACGTAGATATTATTTTCTACCAAAAAAAATCTCGTCATTCATCTCCTAATAAACTACAAGTAAGAAAAAAAGTTCTTCAACTAACAGCTAAAATGCGGTAGCACCATCTTCTGTAACCAATAGCTCCCTTTGCAAACCTAATCTCACATATATTTAAACTTCAAAAGTCACACATCAGCTCCATTTTCCTAAAACCTGCTAGTCTCATCTTCTTTAATTAGCAGCTAAAACGTTGCAACGATAGCTAAAAACCTGCAACGTATTGTTTAAATCTAGATATCCAAGATTTATTTTTTAAATTAATTTACATTTTCAATATCCTTCAATACCCCAACATAATTTCTCCTCCAATACATCTCATTTAGTGATAAAGCCTTCTAGGTTAGTAGCAAAATTTCTCCAAACTTTTTTTATTTTTTAATTTGCCGATGGAAGTTTTATGGAGAGAGATGATCAAAGGCTTTAGCAAAAGAAAAGAAAACATAAAAAAAATGATGGCCTATTGTAATAAAAGTATGTTATTCCAAAGTTTAAGCTACATAATAATAGGGATTGTACTCTCAACCATGTTTTGGGTATAAAGCCAAAAAAGAAAAAAAAGATGTCAGTAATGCATTTCCCATATTTCTTTTTGACATAGCCAAACAGTAACAATGTATTTCTCAGGTTGCATCTAAATAATATCTAAACAGTGACAATCCATTTGCAGGTAATATATTACGTCAGTAATATATTTCACAGACAATATATTTCTAGGTATTCAAACTGCCCCTGAAAGTATTAGCCCAGTCAAAGAAGATGCATTAATCAACAAGGTGTGGTTAGTTTTTTATAGAGTTATATATGATAATTTTACAAATTATAATCCCACGATGTTGTTGATGATTGATGTCTTGTATTATGAGGAAATAGATTTGTCAAGGTATAGTCAAAATGACAACTCCAAAGGGTTATTAGGGTACATGGAATTCGATATATATCTGTACTTGAGGTATTTCAGTAATTTGTACCATCTATCTGGGACTTGATATATATTATTGCGACTCGATAGACATTGTTGCGATTCGATATAAATTGTTGCAATCGGGTTTTCTAGAGTTAAGGGAAAAACGTAGATTTCTTTATAATTAGAGAACAGGGGATGCGTGAGGAAGAAAGTTGTAACCATATTCTCTATTGTCAGTAAAGAAACTATCATCTTCCGTGGACGTAGGCACGTTGTCGAACCACGTATATCTTTGCATTGTGATTGGTTATTTTTTTTTATGTTTGTTTCTTCTTTCTTGTTTTCATGGATTGTTTTTTGTTTCTACAGACGTGCCCACAACTGTTAGAATATGATAGGAAAACATGAAAAAATCTTTTATATAAGTTCTTATTTTCGTTTAATCGAAACTTTCATTTTTTAATGACTTAGGCGATTTTTTTTATTTTCTATTTCTTTATTTATAATTTTTTGGCTAAATTTTAAGATACTTTATTTTTTATGTTCTTTATTTTTACATTTTTTCCTATGATATTAACACATCTTAATTTTTCATGGATGTGTATGTTGTGTTTTAATGGAAATATGAAATATTATTTTTTTAAAAAAAAAATATTATAATGTAAACTCGAAGTGGCTAATTGCTGCTAGCATTGTGCAATTATAAAAGTAGATTTCCACTAATTTTTATTGCAGCTTACATTGACATATTAATTTTATATAGTTAATTTTATTCTAATATTTATTGTTTTTCATAATTAATTATAACTATGCGATATGTGAAATTTTATAGCTTGGGTGTGTCACGAAGTTTGAGATTTTTTTGTTTTTTTGAAGTTTGAGATTGGTCGATGGAATAAATGTAGCAATTCAATTTCACATCTAATGGTCAAGATTAATTGTGACCACCTTGTACCAATGGTAAATAGTGTCATTTTATATTTTTCCTATTTTGCCAATAAAATTGATTATCGTGTATTTTCAATGTAAAAATGATTTTACTAGGTCTCTTTTTATTTTTTATTTTTTATTTTTTATTTTTATTTTTTTTGGGTTACCAAGGTTGGAATGATGCCTAATTTTTTGCCATAACATGAAATACTCCTATTTACATATTATTCCACCCCATATGGGATTTATCAGTAGGACCAAATATTTTGGATACGTAACAACATTAAGCGATGAGTCTCAAAAACCTAAAAATATAAACCAAAAAATCGTACATATTTTATATGGGCCTAAAAAATAACGTTCTAACATTAGACAAGGACCATCTAGCTTTGCGATGGTTAGATCTCAGTATTACGAAACTCAAAAGTTCAATTTTATTTAGTGTTGAAAATAGTTTGGCTTTTATTTAATTTTGAAAATACTTTGGCTTGTCTAAAGTATTTAACATTGACGGTCAGGAAGTACCAAAAAGATCGTACTTTCGATATCTTTGGTCGATAATTCAGGAAAATGGAGAGATCAATGAAGATGTCATACACATAATTAGAGTTGGGTGGGAGAAGTGTATATATGCAACTAGAATTTTATGTGATTGCTGCATACTAATGAAGTTGAAAGATAAGTTCTATAGGACAACAATGAGATTAGATTTGCTCTATGGGGTAGAATGTTGGGTGGACAAAAAACAATATGCTCATAGAATGAGTGTAGCAGAAATGAATTTAGACGTGGTACCAATAGGCAATAAAATAAGAGAGAGTAGACTTAAGTGGGTTGGCCATGTGTGGCGCCAACCTTTTTTTAGTTTCAAATCCTATTATCGGTATTGGAAATTGATTTTAGATCCATAATGGAGTTTTCCATTATCGAAAGTGCTTTCCGGATGAAGATATGAGGTGTGGATTTATTTTAACCAAGCCTTGCTATGCAAATGGTAGTGGCGTAACATTCACTTGAAAGATAATCTTTTGTACCAAGTTTTATATGCCAAATATGGACTGGATAGATTAGAACTGTGGCTTCGGGGTGGAAGGGGTAAGAATATTTCTCCTTTGTGGAGAACTATTTTAAGTTATAGGCCTATAATTTCTAGTTATTTTCGATAGAATGTTGGTTGTGGTGAACAAGTCTCCTTCGGGCATCATAAGTGGTTGGGGGACTTTCCTTTGAAATCAGTTTTCCCATATCTGTTTAAACTTGTGACTAGGCCCAATATGAAGATCAGTGAGGCAGCAGAGAGGAGGGGTTAGAGTGTCTCATGGGATATTTTTGTTGCCTATAACCGTCTGAATAATGTGACATTAGCACAATGGTGCTAACTCATGGAGTTGTTGGATAAAGTGTATCTATCTCAAAATGCTGATGATGAGATGATCTGGGAGATTGAGAGTGATGGTATTTTCTCTGTCAAATTGTGTTACAATCTTTTCTTTCATGATCGATGGAGATTCTCTTATGCATACATTGCTCAAATTTGGAAATGGTTGATTCCCCGCAAGGTTCAAATTTTTATTTGGTTGGCTATGTAGGATAAAATTCTGACCATTGACGATTTGATCAAAAGGGGGAAAATTCTTCCTAATGTTTGTTTGTTTTGCAAGGAGGATGGTGTGTTGAGGATTGATGTCTTATATTCTGAAGAAATAAATTTGTCAAAGTAGAGTCAAAGGACGATTTCAAAGGGCCGTTAAAAGCCCAGAAGAGTGTCTGACGCATGAAGACTTGGTTGACTCGGCCCTTGCGGCGGTTCGGGAGCGGCAACCCCTGAGAAAAAATTTCAGCTATATTCGTACATGGATTCGATATATATCTGTATATTGGGTATTTCGGTAATTTATACTATCTATCTAGGACTCAACATATATTGTTGCGATGAGGGGTTTTTAGGGTTAAGGGAAAAACACAGATTACTTTGTAATCAGATAGAACAAAGAGGCATGAGGAAGAGAGATATTGTAACTCTATTATCCATTTCCAGTAAAAAAACTCTCATCTCCCGTGGATATAGGCACATTACCGAACCACGTATATCCTTGCATTTTTGTTGGTTGTCTCTTTCTTTTGTGTTTTATTTCTTCTTTTTGTTTTCGTTGATTGCTTTTCGTTTCTACATGGTGAATCTGGTGCGCATCTCTTTATCCATTGCCCTTTCATGGCAAGAATTTGGTTTCAGCTTTTTGAGATGGTTGGGGTTCAGATGGTACTCCCCTATTTGGTTGGAGGGATTGTGTCGTCTATGACATTGCCTTTTTTGCCTAAGACAGGACATGTAGTCTGGAAGATTGCACTAGGAGTGATTCTTTGGGAGGGGTTTGGAAAAAAACAAATAGAAGAAACTTTAAAGGGATTGCTTGTCCATTTGATAGACTTATCCACATCATCAAATGTTCCATTCGGTTGTGGTTGTTAGTGAATAGAGATGGGTGCGGTATTTCCAAGGTAGATGTGATGGCTAATTTACGTAATTTATTCTATCTTGATTCATGTTGGTCTAGAGCAAGATGCATCTGTACGGCATCGTGTCTAGGCAGCAGGAAGCTTAACTTCGATGGTAGTTCTTCTGGAAACCCTAGATTAACGGGAATTGGAGGTATTATGCGAGATTGTTTTGGTAATGTTCTCTTTTCCTCTGTTAGTCCAATAGGCTCTGCTACAGCAAATTTTGCATAACTGAATGCTTTGCTTTGTGGATTGAAGATTTTCATTAGGAAGAATGTGGAAGGTATCTGCATGATTGAAGGTGACTCTTTGAATATTATCAGATGGTGCAAGAAGGAACAAATAGTCCCCTGAGAACTTCGGCCCCTATTGTTGCAGGTGATGGATTTGGTAGAAGATATCTCGATCTCCTTTTCTCATATTTTTCGGAAAGCTAATAGTGTCGGTGACTTCCTTGATAAAGGAGTATTTTGTTTCCTCTCTTCTTAATAAAAACACAAATACATACAGGGGCACCATATAAAACCTCAAAATACAACACAGAGTACACATCTATCAATCTAAACCGTCCATCCAGTACAATCAACACACTACTTTTCATGTTACTATACGTTATATTGTCTTTGTCTTTCTCTTTCTAAGAGATATGGGCAAGCCCCCCTTCATACGAAGGGTAAGAGATAGTGTATAGAGAGGCTCTTTCTCTCTCTTGTGTATTGTAACCTCGTATCTCTCTACAATACACGCTGCTATGCTCTTCATCTGAACATATGCCATCTCTTTGCCCAGGCAGAGCCTCGGCCCGGCATGGAAGACCGGATATTTGAAATTATTTTCCGGCGTAAAAACCCCGTTCCGGAGCCATCTCTCTGGCCGAAACTTCGTGAAATCTCGGCCCCAGATCACCTCCATTCGGCCCATGGCATACGCACTGTACGCTACATACCAACCCTTTTCGACGAAATTTCCATCGGGTAAAACATCGTCTTTCAAACACTCCTTCGAGTCCAATGGAACCGGTGGATATAGCCGCATCGACTCGGTGACCGAGGCATGCAGGTAGTGCATGTCCTTGAGTTCTTCGTAACCAAAATTTTGGCCGCAGCCGTACTTTTCACGAATGTTTTGGATCTCGGCTCGGATGTTCTGTTCGGCTTCGGGGTACCACGTCAGCAGCCAGAAGAACCACGTCAGCGCTGATGACGTGGTGTCGCGACCCGCCAAGATGAAGCTTACGACCACGTCGCGGAGGATCCCGTCGGACGATCCAACCCGTTGATCGGCCATGAAGCGCGAGAGCAGATCCTGGCCGTCTGATTTCAGCATCGGCTCGTCGGAGGATCTAGACCGTTGGTTGTCCGCAGAGCACAGTAGCGGATCGTGGCCGTTCACTTCTTCGGTTTGCTCGTCAGGGAGTCCTAACCGTTGATCTTCTGCAGAGCGCAAGTGCCGATCATGACCGTTCTTTTCTTTCCTTGGCTCATCGCAAGAGGCGAGTCGTTGATTAGCGGCCGAGCACAAGAGCCGATCCTGGCCGTTCATTTCTTTTATGTGCTCTCCAAGCCTTTGATCGGCGGACGACGACGACATGAGATCCTGCCCGTTGGATTCCATCCCCGCTCGGCGGGCCCGGATAATCCCGTTGGCAAAGCCATGGACGACACGTATGCAATCGCTGATCTTCTTCTCAGATGCCACGTGGAAGAATTTCAGAACTTTCCAGAACTGCGGTACAGCACTGAGGAATCTCGCCGCGCAAAGAACCGTTGCCTCCTCGAACGCGGCTAAGAAGGCGTTTTTCGGCAACGTTAGCACTTCTTTTTCACGAGAAACGTCTTCAAACTCGTCGAAATCCACCAAAATTTCCCCAGAAACTTCAGATAAATGGCCAGAATTTTCAGACGTATCAATTGAAGTACCATAACTTTCTCCGGAAAACCCAGATTTTTCGACGGAATTCACTGAACTTTGGCCTGTAGTTTTTCCCGTGATTGTCGAGTTCTTGCCGAAAACCGAAGACTCCTGGCTGGAATTTTCCAAATTTTGGCCGGAACTCATTGGAAAACACTCCAAACATGCTGGATCTTCGCCAAAAGCCACTTTGCAGACATTATCGAATGCAAATCTCTCCAAAACGTCCTGCAAATCGATCAATTTATGATTCGAACTCGCGAATTCGAGCAGAGGGATCAACCTCTGGTTAATCTCGCTCTGCACCATGCTAAGCACAAAGCTCCTAAGCGACTTCGTGCTAAACTCAAAGCTCGCCATCTTCCGTTGGATCTTCCACGTGTCGCCATCGGAGTTAAAGATGCCATCACCGATAAAATCATGCAGCAGAGAGATGAACTTTGGACCTTTGGGGTAATTCTCGAAATTGTTTTTCAACATGTACTCTACATTTAGAGGATTAGCGGTCACGATTCCTCGGACACCACCTAGTCGCCGGAGCGTGACCGTCTGCGTGGGGCTCCTGGAGAGCATCTCAGTCATCCATTCCAGGAACCTGTGGCGATTAAGCACGAACTCGATGAGGTTGCCGAGAATGGGATAAGCTTTGGGCCCTGAGTATGATGCTTTGGGGTTGGGGCCAGGGGTATTATGGTAAAAGTGGCGAAGCAAGAGCAGGGAGGAGAGGAGGAAGAGGGAGTATAAGACGAAGAGAAGGGCCATTCTGATAGCCGGGAAATTGTTTTTCGGTGATTGAAATGCCGGGAAAGGACTTTTTCGATGTGTTAATGGCCGGAAAATTTCTCCGGTACCATAAATCTCCTGGTTGAGTCTAATTCTTTACGACTGGTGTGAGTGAGAATCAGCACCCTATTTAAATCCAAAGAAGAAATATAAATATTTTACTGGTAATTGAAAATGCCAGTAATTGAAAATGCCAAAAAAAGTACTTTTCTTGTACTGATAATACCATCGTACCCATTCAAAGAAGAAATATTAACAATTTGACTTACATAAAATATATAACCTCAAATAATCATACACATGCGTTATGTTTGTTATTATTTATGGGATGTGGTTTTTATAGAGGCGAGGTTCTAAACAATCAAAATAAAACACACTTTCAAATAGTGTCGAGAAAGATTGTTTCAATACTGGAAATCTTTATGATAGCCTTAAAATCTATTTACATATCTAATTAGAAGATTTTAAACTCCAAAAATAGTTAAAATCAAAGCGATATATAAACATATGATAATCTTGAAAATGGACAGCCTGGATAATGAGTTGCAAGATGCACTATTTTTTATACTCAAAAAAAAAATTTAATATACATTCATACATCTCGATGTCGAGCTGATCAAATAGAGGGTTTCTCAACATTAAAGCAACATTTCTGATAGATTTTTTAGGTACATTTAATTCTACATTTTAAGGTTGCAACCTTATATAAACTTTTTCGTTTAATTTCTACAAGGGATAAAGCTGAAATTTTTATTAAAAAATAATAGCACTCTACAAATAAAGTTTTAAGATACTAACTTTCAAAATACCATTGTAATTTTGTTAAAATTTTAAATTTATTTGATAATTAAATTACCTATTAAAATAAATTTTTAAATAAATAATAATAATTTTTTTATAAATACAACTATCACAACCTCTTACCCCATCACTAACCATTTTAAACATTAAAATTGACGGGTTTTTAAATGTTGGATTAATAGACATATCATTAACACTTCGCCCACTATAGTGTTTTTGTTCCCATGAGGCCTTTTTTAATAGAGTGAGGGTGCATGGGTATTTCAGGAAAAGATTAGGACACCATAAGCAACTCTTAGATTTTTGTCAAAATGACAGCAACAGGTGTAATCATCTTAGGCCCCACAACGTCTACGAAGACTAAAAAGAAAAGGAAAAGTTATTTGTGAGCCAGCAGGTACAAGAGCCCGCAGACTCACTAACCACCATCTCTCAGATGGATGCTGTAAAAAACCTACAAGGCTAAAATAAATTTAGAGCGGTGTAAAACAAAATTAAAAAAAAGTTATATTATAGATGTTAAAAAATCTATTTATTTTCATACTTAAGATCATATTAATCTAGATCGTGAATACCTAAAAAATTTTATTACAAATCTATTTTTGAGATAGGTTTATGTAGGGGGCTACATATACACAGTATGAGTCGGCTGACTATCAGAAACACCATCCAAAAGAAAATCAGCCTTTTTGTGGAGGACGTAATGCAATCGTGCGGTGATATTAACCACATAGATGCACCTAGTAAAAACAAAAATAATAAATGTTAAATAAATCATACGAGCGCATTGAGAGTATGAAAATTATAAGTAGGAGCTTGTAAGAGCCAATCCCATCTGTTTCATTATAAATAACTTTCTAAAAATTACAAAAACCCACCAAAATCAACTTCCTTCCAACCAAGTTTTTTTTAGAAATTTTTATACCAAATTTAACTTTCACAACAAATACCCCCAAGTAAAAAAAAAAAAAAAAGATAAAATGAAAACCAAAATACCCTCTGAAAAACATGTAGTCCAACATAAAATGAGGGCGGTATAGCACTTTGCTTCTGGAAAGCATGCAGTCCAACACAAAATGGGGGCAGTCCAGCACTTTGGCCTTCTGGAAAGCATGCGATCCAACACAAAATAGGGGCAGTCTGGTATTTTGGGCATTTGGTCTGACACGTAATGGGGGTAGTCTGGCACTATGGCCATTTTCATCAAAAAAATATATAACTTTTTTTTACTTGGGGGGTATTTGTTAGAAAAGTTTGATTGGGATAAAAGTTGCTAAAAAAACCTTGGTTAGTGGGTAGCCTGTCTAAAAAGTCTCCTTTTAAAAGGTTTTTGTAATTTATACATATTGATACATCGATACCATTGATGGAGTACCCTCAAAGTCCTCCCTTTCCATAATAATAATAATAATAATAATAATAAAGAAAAAGAAGAAGAAGAGAGTGAATATTGAAAGATAGGAAATAATATAATAAGACTGGCTACTTTTGGAATAATAAGATCACAATCACTTCTAAATGTCAAATATGAAATCAAAGAGATAAAGATGTGTCATTGATTGTGTTTAAAGCTTGAGAAATATTTTTAAGTCGATTGCTAAGGATAATTATGGTGTTTGGAAAAAGTTTATACAAGACATCAATCATGTACTATATAAGTAAATTGCACATCAAAACCCCAAAGGAAAAGGTTGTTCCAATAGCATTAGAATACTCTCTAGTCAATTAACTCAACCTCACGATATATTGATATAGAAAGAAAAAAAAGAAGGATTTTAAGTCAGGGAATAGTGCATTTTGTAATATATAACTTTGGACCATCAATTTTCAAGATTTTTAAGTTTTATAGATATACTCGATCTGTATCATTTGTATTTAAAATTAAATTTCGTAATTAAGATTGAAAATAGATTTCTTCTCATCGAAAGACGAAATTCCTTACTGGTGTGTTTTAAGTTATCATCCTATACAAAACCACACCACACCAGTTATCTTTATCTCCATGAGAAAATGGGAACCATGTACACTATAATATGATCAAAAAGTCATAATGACAATCAGGACTTTAGGCTTATGAATGGGTAATGTTGTATCATTTTCTAATTATTCATTTTAATTCTTCAAAGATTAACACATTTTAACTCTTCAAATATTAACATTTACATAGTTTATGGGGCTCCAAATTCTTGGACCTGGGATAAAATTGGATTTACTATGAACTGGATGTATTTTTCAGTGCATTACTGGAAAACAAGGGCAAATGCATGAATACATTAACTTACTCAAAAACCCATGGCACTTTGAATCTAGTCCTAGGTCCCTTTTCTTAGTGTCATGATTGAGGGCTAAGTTGGGTGGCGCAAAAACCCTTAGCTACAAAATACTTTATAAAGGACCCACAGGTCATTTATAGATTTGTGGTACTTTGTGGAGATCTACCATACGTCTTAGCAAATGGATCTTTATCCTTGACCAACCTTAGGCACACAAAAAGGGTGGTGTAGCTTGGTGCATGAATGTAAGTGCACATGGAATAAGCTACGAAGATTTTTAGTATGAGGCTCTGGGCAAGATGGTGTTGACTGATGACTAAATTAGGGGGACTTAGTAGGTTTATCAAGTATAAATAGAGACTTTGTTGGCTGGACCATGACCAGCTTAAAGGGTTGTTGATATTTACCATTTATAAAAGGCCACCAACTATATATCGACCTAGGCATCTGTCTTTCTACCGATGTAGGATCTTTCTACCGATGTAGGAAAAAACGGGTTGTTCAAATCGTAACAACCCAGTTAGATCGGAACCTGCCATTGGCTGGTTCCAATCGATTTTGGTGAACCGGTCGGGTATTTAAAAATAAATAAAAAATTATATAAAATCTTAAAAAATAAAGAATTTTGTTTGTAATATATTTTTTAATGTTTTCATCATTTTGCAAAGATTGAAAATTGTTTTGGTCGTTAATACTTATTTTTATATTTATCCATCTTTTTTAATTGTTTTTAGATAGATACTTTGTACCTTGGGACCGTAAAAATGCGGGTCCGGTCCGCATGAAAGAATTGTCCTTATCTAAATGCCCATACGATATGAACTATTTAACGTTATATTTATGTCTTTTGGTTTAATTTGAAAATACCCAGGGCATACAATTAGCCTCCATGTTGTCTAACATAATTAATGTTATTGAAAGGACTACTCCCAAAAGTCCAGTTCTTCTATAATAAATTAAGATTTTGCCCAAGTACAGCATAAGGTACATACTCAAAATGTTAATTTCAACAATAGGACCACAAACAAAAGTCCAAGTTGGATACGAGAGAAAATCAAAAAATACTCCAATATAGAAAAAAGTTAAAATATATGTGTGTGTAAAGACAGAGCTGTAGGCCAAAAGTCAAGTGGCTTCCTCTGTTATAAGGTTGTAATAAGATGAATTTTGATACAAGTTCTTATGATAATCGAGGTGCTGTTGGAGTTGGTGGTGATAAGAGACTGGATGGGAATGTAATTTTCTGTTATGCTGCCCCTTGTGGGAGTAATACTGCCAATAATGTTGAAATGGCCTCGGTTGCAAGGTTTGCAAGGAGCAGCAGGTATCATGGTAATTACGTAAGTGTTGGCTGTAAATAATGGATTTGGTAAAAAATCCATGAATTTTGTATAGTTTATCCAAACAAAAGATTTAGAAGAATCCATAATAATAATCCTTGATATTGAAAATCTATAGATTTTTTTAGATTTCAAATATTTAAAGTTCCTAATTTTTTCCTATTCAAATGAGCCTTTAAGAGTTTCATTCTTTCATTTCCATAGAAAAGCCAATGAATTTGCCGATGCTCTGGGGAAAAGGGATACTTCACTCTCTTCTTTGTTGGTATCTGATAATGTAATTTCTCTATTATGATTCGATGATTGTATTTTTTATTTTAGCAATAAAATTTGGAGTATTATCTGTAAGAGAGAGAGAGAGAGTCAAAATAATTAGAATACTATTGTAATGAATAAGAAGACTCCACGTACAACAAATTGACCAGGTTGTTGCTTTGAAAGCATCTTACTAACCCAAAAAATCAACAAGGACAATATTTGCCTGAAAAGAAAATGGGGGGATAAATAATCTATGAGGTGGTAGCTAAAATTCAGTCATAAGTCTTGAATGACAAAGGAAATGGTATGAATTTGTATAGTTAATAATTGAGTCATTTTAAAGAACTTCATGGAAAAATTTTTACTGCCTATAGGGGTAGGTGCATCTAGGCACGGGTTTAGGTGCCTCTAGGGACGCACCTATTACATACACTGAGT